AAGATGTGAAAGGCAGACAGTCTTCCTTGCATTCCTGTAACTGCCACTGACTTGAAGTCACGCGGTTCTTGCTGTAACTCTGCATATTCCTGCTAACAGTCCACTGAGTCAGGCTGACTCCATCACGCGGTTTCTGTACTTCACCCAAAAGTCCACCTGGCTTGCGCCCTAGATCCTGGGGTCTCTGCTAGAACTCCCCTTCATCACTAAGGGCTTTGCTGATTTCTTAATTTTAAATTGCAACTAGTTCCCCTAACGACCTCTATCCCCCTCTTCTCTTTATTTTTAACTGTAGAATTGTAAGCTATCTCACATTCTGTGCATTTCATTTACTCTCTGGAACATTGGTCTCCCAACACTGGGAGGGAAGCTGCATGTTTTCCTCATCATCTTACCACAGTGCATAGCTGACCACCTAATACATTGTACATGATCAGTAAATTAATTTCAAATAAATTAATTAATTGTACTCAAAATTTATATTGATACAAATGTGCATTGTTGTTCCTAAACAGCTTACAAAAAAAAATACTGAAGCCTACAGAGGTAAAGCAGCCTGTGTGTCTAGTCCATGTGACAGCATTCCTTAAAAAAGCTAATTAAAACTAATTTAAAAGATTAAAATGTAGGAGATTATGATGGGTAAAATGTGGTTTAATGAAGCATTAGGACTTTTGGAAGAAGGAAAAGACCATTCTGTCTTGGAATGCCAAGGATAGATTTCATGGTGAATCTTAAACTGAAACATAAAGATGTTCAAACTTTCAATAGATTAAAAGAATGATTAGAGCAGAAATTTAGGTAGAGAACATAGAATCAGAGCAAGAGCTATGCAGGAGGAGGTCAGCCTCCATTGAATTAAGAGGAATTGCTATTGGCAACAGAGAAGGTTGGAGGAGAATTCAGGCTGATGTGCTGAGAAGCATCCATCAATTCAACGGAAAGGGCCAGACGAGGATGGAGCCACCCTGTTCCTCTGTTGGATAAAGGCACACTGGGAGCACCACACGTGGCTTCTGCTCCTGTGGTGTAGGGTGGGCAATGACTGCTGCAAACTCTGGGACAGAGAATTCAGGGAGAGGAGTGAGGGTCTCCAAACAACCAGGGCAACTTGCTCGGCCTCAAGTGAGACCCAAAAACGTTCATTTGGATGCACTCTATGTTTACTGATGACGTACAAGACATTGTCTACCTTAAATCACTTGAGTGATAGAACAGTAAAGAGTAAGTCAGATGCCTCATCCCTATAAATGTAATTACCCATGGGGATAGCAGCCTTGCCTCTGTGGGAGGATAGGGGCCTATCTCCTAATAAATTAGCAAACACAGATGGCCCAATCACACTGCTCAACTTCCCCACCAACAACCACCAGAACCTTTCCACTAGCTAAACCCAGGGCCTACATATTCCTGCCTTGGGCTTCAGGACAGTTGAGTTCAACAGCTCACCCTATTGCAACGTTTTGACTCCTATTTCAACAATCTTCAATAAATACTTCCTTGACATTTCTTAAAAGTCTTGTGAATTTTTCTTTAACGCAAGGCATTGGTATTTTTTTCTTTTCTGTTTCTCTGTTTGAGACCCTGAACTCTTCTTACAGGCAGGACCAGAATGGACGAAATCAGATAACTACTTGTTCTCTTTTCTAAACCTGTGCAGTTTTCCCCTTTGCTGCTCAAAGCCACTCAACTCACTAAGAAACTTAAGATTATGGAAACGGTCTTTCACTCTAATGTCACCTGGCCAGTCACCCTCCCGGCCTCTCAGTGCTTTGTCCTCCTGGATAACAGTGACTCCCCGTCCTCTTTGTCCCAGTCCTCCACCCCATGGCCACCCACTGACTCCTGCCACCACCTGGAATTCCTCCATTTCTGAACATCAACTATGAAGTTCCCCATCCCTGACTCACCCACTGTCCTTCCAGCCTCTCACGTTCCGTCCCTCCTTCCCTGCTGATCAACATCAACAAGGCTCTTCTCCCCCGGGGCTGTGCATGGGAATCGCCAGGGAGCCTGATGCCCGAGCTGCCCCTGGGACACCTGTCACGTGCTCTCATCTCCTGTCCTTGTGCACTGCCCCGTCTTTGCCTCAGGTTCTCCGAGTTTGGTATTTTTTACCTTTTTCAGGCATGTTAGTGGGGTCTTGGAGTAAAACATTAGAAATCATGTCAAGCTGAGTCATCTTTTTTTTTTTTT